GGCGGAGGGGGCCCAGCTCCTCCTGCCTGCGCTGGGTCTCACTGCGGATGTCGCAGAACGGGGCGTGCTGGCTGTCCAGCAGCGCGCAAATGCAGCACAGAGCCTTCTCACACGTCCTGCAGTAGATACTAGAGGCCAAGCACAAGCAGAGCCATAATTTAGACCACACACTTTGCAATCCATTCATTTATCAACCTGCAAATTCATTCATTCATTGAATTTAAGTTGCCACCAAGTTTGGGCCAGGCATTTAGTTTTATACCCTCCCAATTGCAAAAAAAAATATATGTTGGTTTGCTATCTTCTCTGCTGGGCTGGCTAAAGTCAGTGTGGTGGTTGTGCAAGCGTTATGGTAGACGTTCATCCACACACTGCAAGGGCAGTGAAGAAAGGAGCTCTCTGCCCTCAAAAGGGCACTTATTGGGGTTATGTATAAGAATATAGGACCAAAGAGTATCTTACCTCCATAATCACAGAATCACAGAATCACAAAATCGCTCGGTTGGAAAAGACCTCTGAGATCATCATGTCCAACCGTTCCTGTCTACCCACTAAACCATATCCTCAACTACCTCATCTACCCGCTCTTTAAATACATCCAGGGATGGTGACTCCACCACCTCCCTGGGCAGCCTGTTCCAGCTTCTGACGACCCTCTCAGTAAAGAACTTCCTCCTTATCTCTAACCTGAACCTCCCTTGGCACAGCTTGGTGCCGTTTCCCCTTGTTCTATCCCCCATCACCTGGGAGAAGAGACCAGCACCCACCTCTCCACAACCTCCCTTGAGGCAGTTGTAGGTGGTGATGAGGTTTCCCCTCAGCCTTCTCTTCTCCAGGCTAAACAAGCCCAGTTCCCTCAGCCGCTCCTCATCAGGCTTGTTCTCCAGACCCCTCCCCATCCTTGTGGCTCTTCTCTGAACATGCTCCAGAATCTCAACATCCTTCTTATAGTGAGGGGCCCAGAACTGAACACAGCACTCGAGGTGCGGCCTCACCAGTGCCAAGTACAAGGGGATAATCACCTCCCTGGACCTGCTGGTCACACTGTTTTTAAGATGCCTAAGGCAAGAATATAAGAAGTGGGGAGAGGAGATCAACATCCATCCCTCATGTAAGTTCTGATATCCTTGACAAGTAGTGGGCTAGGGACATGCTGAGGGAGAGGTTGCATCTGGGCCATCAGTGGTGGCCCCCACAGATACTCCAGCCCTTTCCTCTCTTGCTCAGTCCCATTAAGGACTAGTCCAAAGAGATTTATAGCAAGAAAACACCCAGATAGGGACAGACCTCCCTAGACTTACCTTACAGTCTGGCTCTTGTGGCTTGGATTGGAGCAGGACAAGTTACTGGTCTTCTTGGTGCCCTCCAGGAAGTCCTTAGCAGACCCTGCCCTGATGTCCACCACCCTCTTGGCTTCGTGGCTCTCCCTCTTCAGGTAGCGCTGGTGGGCCTCAAAGCACTTGGTGCAGAGGAACTCCTTGCACTCAGGGCACCAGAACTCACCAGGTTTCCTGCAGTTGTCACAGAACAAGTCAACTCTGTCAACAATATTCTTGTAGACCTTCAGCCTGGCTTGCAGGTTGGTGAAGAGCAGGTTGTCCATGTCGGGGATGCCGCTGGCCTGTGGGATGGCCGTCTGGCACACGGGGCACTGCCCAATGGGCTTGTTCTTGTCCAGGCAACCAAGGCACAAGGTGTGGAGGCAGGGGAGGGGCTTGAGGTCGGGCGATTCCAAAAAAAGCATAGGATGAACTGGAAGTCATCTTCTGGGAGCTTGGGGAGGGCAGGAGAGAGAAGGAGGAATGAGTGCCAGGGTTTTTTTAAGAGCTTCTGAAACCGCATCTTGGAGCGGTGAGGTGTCCTGCAACCCCTACTGTGAGCAACCAGTGAGCAATCGCTTCCCATCAGTGATGCCCAGGCCCTGTAAGCAGCCTGGAGATGGGCCATGCACCGTGGTGAGGCTGGATGGGCGACGGGGTTGGGTGGATGGGGCCCTGCTGAGCAACTTTCCTTTAGCAAAGAGGAAACAGGACTCCTCCTGGCTATGAGGCTGGGTGGGGGCAGCGCAGAGAATGGGGCATGGAGCATCTCAAGACCCCTTGGTGACACCTTGGAAGGGTGGGGACCATCCTCCCAGCCACCCCCCTCGGTCACCACGGTCACCCAGTCCTTCTGGCCACTTCACAAGACCGTGCGTGCGTTGGATTGGAGACCAGCTCCCTTCTCCCCACCACCCACAAAACCGGGGACAACACCCCAAAACTCTTCTCTCAAGGCCACGCCTTGGGGCTGAGGACTCCCTGGTGGCCTGGACGCCGCTAGTAGGGCCGGACCCCCCTGCCTGCATCCCCCCCC